AAGAATTGTGTGGTATCTATATAAATGCCCCAAACTAATGTTCATCACTTTCATCATGTTCTATGAGAGTGGGTCCTATAAAAGAATATTTCCACCAAACCAACTCCTATAGTCACTATTTTGTCATCCCTTTTTTTAATTATATTTCTCTTACTCAAATTGAAAAATGCTTCTTTTCATTTCATGAACATCTTAAATAAAATTTAAATTTAACTTAAATCTAATTTTATCATTAAAAAATTTGGCTATTAGTCTAATGTTAAATATTCAATGGCTTATTAAACTAGTTATTACCTTAATTTCCTTATTTACTTCTACATTATATGATTAATTTACATATTATAACTACACTCTCTCTCTTTCTCTCCCCGACCATAAATCACATTTATAAGCAGTATTGTGCGACTTGAAGTGAACTTTGATGAAGTTACACCAATGAGATAGAATCTTGGGGCAGTCACGTTGAAGCGAACCATATTACCATGGGTGAGAGTTTGGACTGTTATAAATGGTATTAGAGCAATACCCTAACCTAAAGAAGGAAAGTATATACAACACGGAGTAAACTTTTTATGCTAAGTGAGCCTTCAATTGAATCCTATATGTGATAAAGTGCTACATGATGGAAGTCGCCTCTTAAATCTGTAAGGGACATCTTTGTAATCTTATATGCCTGATTGATGACTATTGGTTAAGAAAATTGATGATGACGTCCGTTTTTTAAGTGAGAGAGATCGAGAAATCTTTTATATATAAAATGAAGCTGACAACTCAAATATCAATACATTTTGACATCTTACAAAGTTATGCCAATGAAATAGAATCATGAGATCCTTCTAAACATCAATATTTGGGATGATTGCATGTAATTATCTCTGGATAAATATATAGAAGAATATTATGAATAAAGTATTGATAAACAATAAGATTGAAACCTTTTATATATCAAATGAAGTTGAAAACTCAAATATCAATACGTTTTTTCGTGTTAAACTGTTGGAATTTCTTCTATTACTCTAAAACACTCTTAGGATATAGAGCGATTATTGCGCGCGGCGCGCACGCAGAGCTGCATGCGCTCTCCGATCACATCCACGCATCGCGGTTGTATGACATTGGGGTTGTATGACAGTGACCCCAATGTCATACAACCACGATGCGCAGCTATGATCGGAGAGCGCACCCAGCTCTGCGTGCGCTCTCCGCACGCAATAATTAGACTAGGATATGTGAGATCCTAGAAAATATTGCCAATGAAATAAAATCATGAGATCCTTCTAAACATCAATATTTCGGATGATTGCATGTAATTATCTCTTGATAAATATATAGCTGAATATTATGAATAAAGTATTGATAAACAATAAGATAATATAAAATAAAATTTACTTAATATTTTTTTTTATTTCAAAATAAATTTTTTAAATTATCTCTCTCTGTCTGCACAAACGCGCCATGTCTCTTCGCCGGCGATTTCGAACACAGTGTGGTCAACGTAAGAATCGCCAGTCGAAAGGCAGAAGAACTGGATCTTAGAGGTAATCCTCAACTCTCATTCAAACCTCTCTCTACTGCCGATTGATCAACTGAAATGTTATTCGAAAGAATTGCTCATATTCTGTTTTCGAAATTTCGTCTTCCCCTTGAAATTTTTCTGTGGAACCGAAACCCTAGACTTCGATGGATTGATTTATCTTCGAAAGAATGGGTTTGAATGGAATTTGTTTTGTCCTATGGTTGCATTATTGATGTTTAGAACTGATTTTGGTTGTCTGTAGAGTGGGATTTTGTTGCTTCGGGGGAGGGAGGTGGGGAGGTGAATAGATTGAAAGTACAATGGCAGCAGCGAAGTTTCAAGCCATATGGAATCATCCCGCTGGTCTTAAAACAAGTAAGATTTAATCATCATCATCAGTAACATTCTAACTATTTGGGTTTGGTTTAGGAATCCTCTTTTTTTTAATTCAGTTTAGCAATATTTCAGCTGTATTTTAGTTTTATCTCCCTGTGTTATTGATGATGCATCTTCTACAAATTACTCAAAAATTTTGTTAATAATAATGATTATTATAGTTGCTATTGTTATCAGTTTTTTAAAAATATAATAATTACATTATTAATTACTCTATTTAAGATTTATCATACATGATGCGGGTAAGGGAGAAAGTAGAAAAGAAAGGAAAAGAAGCTTATGGCTGCAATAGCGTGATCGAGGAATGAGTTCTATGATTGTCCTCAAGGGAGAAAGGAGAAGTGAACTAGTTGTTTCCTCGAAGAGGATTTGGATGTTGTGATGGTGCTGGTTGCAATTGGATAAATATGGAAGAAAGAGGGGCGGTTAGGCTTTAGGAAGAGAGGGAAAGTGTCTCAGGGTTGAAAGGAAAGATGACTCTGCAAAATGGTGTGGTCAAGGACAAGATTGAGGAGGCTGAGGTAGTCGCAAACAAATGAGCTGGCAACTGTGGATGCAAATTTCACAATAGAAAGGGAGGGACATAGATAGGGTTGTAAACGAGTCGAGCTTGAGCAAGCTCGGGCTTGAGTCATGTTTGGCTCGTTCGAAATTGCTCGTATTTGAAATTGGCTTTTATTCAAAATTGGCTCGTGAACAGTGTGTTCATGTTCGACTCGATTTAAATATTTTTGTTCGTGTTCGGCACGTGTTTAGTTTGAAATTGACTCCTTAAAGTGAATGGGTAAAAATAGATGTATGGTGTTTGATTTGAACCTGCACCAACTCTGTGCAATAGAAAACGCAGAACCATATGACCACACGAGCTGTTATGATTTAAACTTAGATCTAAATATATATAATATATTATTATATAAATAATATATATAGTATATTATTATACAAATAATATATATATATAATTTCTTTATTTCAAGCTAAAACGAGTTGAACACGAGCGAGCGAAGGGTTGTTTACTTAACGAAAGAGCCGAACAGGAACTGTTCGTGAACATTGAGCTTTTTTGACAGCTCTAAATATAGACGAGAGTGAGTGGAAGAGAAGGGATTATATATGATAGAGGACGAGGCGAGGAGCTTAAGCATCAATTGTGATGTGAGGAGTTTGCATGATTCAAGCTTTCATCTCATCAAAATATTCATCATCCTTTATGCAATCTAGTGGCAAATTTCTCATGCAAAGAGGTTCATACACTTAATAACTAACATATCCTCTATCATGATGAAGATACAAATAGAACATAAGAACTATTCTGAAAGTCCATGAGCATCCCATCACTTGCTACTCTTTGTTTCTCTTTTGGCTATTTAAGGTAAATAAGTAATATGAATACTTTTTCTCCTTTTACATATTTTCTACATGAAAAATTCACTCTATCCCCATCATTAATATCATCATATCCACAGTTCATTTCTGGGCTCCAACCTTCAAATGGGTTATCAGCATTGCTAATATTGCAGACTTCTCTAAGCCACCTGAGAATATCTCTTATCCTCATCAAATCGGTATATGGCCCGTCTACTTATCTGAATCCATTCACAAAATTTTATGTCTTTTGGAATGTTCTGTCTTTTACATACCGCTCAACTCTTATGTAGTTGCATATGTAGCACCTAAACATTGGTTTTTACATTTACTCAAATATTTCACATCACATAAAAAATACTACTATATAAACTTCTAAAAAGTGAAATGCACCTTTTCATGCATAAGATAAGGTAGCATTTATGTAAAAATTGAAGTTTAGATGTTGGAGATATATGTAAATACATTAGAATTGAGTGGTATGCTTGTACATCTTCCTATAAATAAATGTTCTGATGCTTTATTTTTAAACTTTTTTGAAGTTGTTGCTTGCACCGGACTGATCTGGTCACGCTACAGCCTGGTGATTACACCGGTAAGCCTTTACCGTTGCCATTACTAATATACTGTAGTTAGTGGCAGCGTACAATAGTAGTTAAGTTAAAATAAGTGCATTAACGATAGTTAAAAGAATTTAGTTTATATAGTCGGTTGATCTCCACCTTTAATATTTACCCTTTATGTACTTGTAAATATAACATCTTTTTATGAAATAGATTGAAATGCAAACACTCAAAAATTGTAAGGACAAAATGCTTTACAGTTCTTTTTATAATTGACTTGTTAACTGTTCAATGCGATGTAATAAAAGTGCTAATTATTGTAATTAATTGTATAGCTAAATTAAAATTCCTGGTTGTGTTCTTCCTATTATGTATCTCCTCTCGAGTTATATAAATATTGGTCAAGGGATGGAATAAAGCTCAAATTTTAAATTAGCAAGGTACATAGATTTCTAAGCAAGCAGGTCTAATATCTCTGAAAAATAACTCTTTAACCAAGTTATATGGAATATCTTCCATAATACCTTGGTATTATGCATAGCTGCTTTATTCTGTTTTATTTTTTTTTCTTATTATTTTGTTCTATTTTTATTGCATTCAATTATTATGCCTATTGTAATTGGGTTTAAATACCCCTCCTCCTATCAATAAAATTGGGCGGGTCTCTTCCAAATCTCAACACTTCAATTTTTACATATATGCCACCTTACCTATGTTTGAAAAGGTGCTTTCTCTTTTTAAAAGTTAAAATGGTGTGATTGATGCGATATGAAAGATTCGGGTGCTTAAATGTAAAAAGTAAAATTTGGATGTTAGATGTGTAAATACACAGGAGTTGGGTGGGAAGTATGTATATGCCTCAAGTATTAATGGCTAATTTCTTTCTTGTGGGTGCTTGTAACTGATGTGCATTATAGAATAGGTTATTTTTTCATATTGTGCTGAGTTCTTACAGATGATGGCCAATGATTTCCTTGAGTCTAAAGCTCAAAAAAGAGTATTTACATTCATGCCACATATTTCTTTTGTATTCACATATCCAACACCTAAACATTCCTATTTACATGCATACCACTCAATTCTTTAACATCACATCGAAAATACCTCCATCACTACGTTATTAAAAATGAAACACACATTTTCATGCATAGATTTATGACACCAAGGTGTTATAACTGCAAATACATAAGACTTGTGTGGTATGTGTATAAATTTTCCAAAAATGATTTGAACTTAACAGCAGCTGTTTTGCTGCTCAATGATGTCTCACTTGAACAAACCTTTGCTCTCTAGCTTTAGTCCTGCATCAATTAGCTTTTTTTCATTTATTTAATTTTCTTTACCGTTGGCATGCAGAGGAATTTGAACCTTTTTTGCGTCAATATTGGAATGGCTAGCACAGGTCTCTATCAGCTCTCTCGCAAAGTCCGGTAAGATGATTATTTGCTTTAATTATGTAAAAACTAATAAATATTTAATGTAAATTGTTAAAACCTAGCATTGATCTTGGCGGTATAAATGTAAAAAAGCAAAGTTTAGGTGATAGATATGTAAGTAGACATACAAATTGGTCGTTATGTATGTAAATACACCTTGAATCCACATCACAAATGCACAGCAATCCTTATAATCTAAATAATTTATAAGATTACAGTTTGGAAATAAAAGTATTGCATAATAAGACCAATCACAAACTTCATAAAAATTCAATTGACTTGTCTTGCAAGCATTAGAAAACCATGTAATATGATTTGACTTATTTAAACATATTTAATTGTTTTCAAGGACGCTAAGAAGAATCTAAAAGCCAGGTTTTATCCCATACACCAGAGCTTAAAAATAAAAAAGGGGCATTTACATACATACCAACAAATTGCTATGTATTCACATATCTAACACTTAGACTTTACTTTTTACATATATTTATGCCACTTGACTCCTTCATTAACATAAAAAATACCACCTTTTAAGCTTTTAAAAATAGGAAAGATGTTATATATGTAAAAATTTAAGTTTAGGTGTTGCATTTGTAAATACATAGTAATTGAGTGGTATGTTTGTCAATCTTCCAAAAGAAAAAAGTAATATTTGAAAACATATAGAGTAATTATGCTCTAAATTCTCATGATTTTTGTGGATTAACTTGAAAACATATAGAGTTTCATTTTGTAATTTCAATTTAAAATATTCAATTGCCTATGTTTATGATTGACATGCCATTTAGGTGTTTAGATACACACCACACAATTTTTATATATTTACATATTCAAATTGTCTCAACTTTGATGTTTACTTATATAACATTTTAGCGTCATAATCACATTAAAACATAAACATGAAAATATGTTTCACTTGAAAAAAATTAATATTAGTGGACTTTTTTTGTAAGATTTGACAAAATTTAAGTGTTATATTCATAAATTTTAAAGTTTGGCTGTTAAACATGCAAATACATAAATCCATGCTGTGTTTTATTGCTTGAAATTTTACTAAAAACTTGGCTACCTTTGTAACAATTTCATAAACATCTATTGCATTTTTCTCCATATAAGGTATTATTTAAATACATGGCTAATTTCTTCCCTAGTTTTAATTTAAAAAATAATTTTTTATTTTAGGGATAATTACATACTCCTCCCCTGACAAATTGATATTTACAAATAAACCCCCTAGATGAATTTTTTTGAACTATCAAATCGATGCATTTATGATTGCCACGACTAAACTATTGAGAAGTTGATAAATAAAGAAAAATATGGCTTGGGGGCTTTACCATGAGTTTAGACATTTGGGTGTGTGGTTGATTTGTAAATAACAAGTTTTTGGGTGGTCTGTATGTGAATTTCCCCATTCTATTTTATTGGAGTTGCATGTTAATCATCATATGGACATTTCAGGCGAGACTACTTACCTGATGTGAAGGAGGAGGATGTGGAAGAATGATCAGTTTCTTCAGGAGCTCTTTTGGGAATGAATTAAATATCTGAATGTTCCATTTTTTTCTGAAATGATTTTTTTTTTAAATTACTCTGCCCAATAAAATTTTGATTGGACTGTAAAATATATTTTAATTTGTTTGCTGTTGTGAATCTTGTGGTAGCATTTACATACATACCACCCTATTCCTATGTATTTACATATCTAACACTTTTAAGGTGTTTTTTTTTTTACCTTAATACTATGGTTGTAAAAAATGCAAGCTTGAGCGAGCTCAGGCTTGGCTCGTGTTCGGCTAGTTCGAAATAACTCCTGTTCGAAATTGGCTCGTGAACAGTGTGTTCGTGTTCGGCTCGAAATTGGCTCAGAAAAATTAAATTGAAAAAAATAGATGTAAAGTGTGGGGTTCGAACCTGGACCAAATATATATAAAAAAAAGTCACTAACCACATTAACACACGAGATGTTATGATTTAAACTTAGATATAAATATATATAATATATTATTTAATATATCATTATATAAATAATATATGTAATATATTATTATATGAATAATTATTGATTTTTTTTTAATTTCGAGCTAAAACGAGCCGAAGATGAGCGAACAAAAAGTTGTTTGTCTTCGGCTCGTTTATAATTCGAGCTTTAAAAATTTGTTCGTGTTCGGCTTGTTTACTTTACGAGCGAGCTGAACACGTGCTGTTCGCCAACAACGAGCTTTTTTGACAGCCCTAATTAATTCTAACCCAAAATTTTCATATCACATCAAATTACCATCATTTTAACTTTTAAAAAAGTGGAATACACCTTTTATGCATAGGTAAGTTGGCATGTATGTGAAAATTCAAGTTTAGGGTTAGAGATGTAAATACAGAGAAATTGTGTGGTATGTATGTAAATCTTCCCTTTTGTTTTTAAATTATTTAATGAACTTGAATTCCTGAGTTTCCTTAGGAGTGGACAATAGCATGTAAGTCTTTGCTTTAGTGTTATTGGACCAAGCTGTATGTATGTATGTATGTTAAAAGTTTTGAGTGCTATAAATGTAAAAATGAAAGCTTAGGTATTAGATATGTAGATTCCCCTAAAACATATAATTTCTGTAATTCTTCTAAGCTATAAGCAAATTGTATTTTGAAGCTCAAACACCATAGCTTGATCTTCACGTCATAGAATTTATCAACTTAATTGGTGAAGTAGTTATACCAAATATATGATGTAGGTGGAATATATTAATCGATTGTAGAGATGTTGCTTCTAATTTAGTGATACCACCTTCGCATACGCGTACACGTACATGCGTGCGCACACACTTATACGCACATAGCAAGAAATACGAAGTAATTTACTTGACTTTATTTTAATTCTGAATCTATTGGAGGCAAATGTCAAATTAGCTTTACATATACATACATATATAGGTACATATATAGATATATATATAGATATATAATCATCAGTGTAGAAAAGAAGACCCACGGCCTTGAAGGCTAAAGTTAGGGATCAAATGAGGCGAACTTGGTCTATGATTCCCTCCTTGATTGTAATTAGGGATAAGTGAAGGGCTATAGAAGTCAACAATACTTGCTTCCTTCAAAATTTGGCCATCTTGATCTCCATTTAAACCTTTTGACTTCATCTTAATTGTTGAACTTTTCGTCGTCATGATCGTTGAACCGCACTGTCTCGGCTGTGTTTGAAAGAATACTTTCGACACGACGAGCTCTCCATCCTTCTCCTCTTCATTGGAACCCAAGTGATATTGGTGCATGACCCAATTAGTTTTTTCTGGCTTTCTTTGCTTACCATAGTTCGTGTAGAGAACGAGTATTTTCTTATAGCCTTTCACCCCGCCTTCCACAAGGACTGGTCTCGTCTTGCCGGTTTTGTGCCAGCGGGTCTCGCCGCCATGGTCGTCGGTGTGAACTTTTCTTCTTTTTCTTGTGCCTGTTGTGTAGGCTTTCGAAGGTCGGTGAAAGAAGTGGCGAATGAGGCCATCTCTTGTTACTCCTATCAAACAAGCAGACAAACTATGTTACGTCCTACCATTAAAAAAAAGGGAACAAGATATTTTGATCAAGAAGGTTATTGAATTTGTTTTGAATACAATTTAGTTTTGGATATATTGATACAAATTGCATCATGTGAGGTTTGATAATCATTGGATTTGCTTTAAAATTAGTGCAAATGAAGCATTAATCTCTAAGTAATCTAATGATTATGAAGCCCATCCTAATATTATTCATATTAAGATAGTTAGATACAAATTATTTTTTCATTTATTTCAACAAGAGTGCAATATTAGAGCCATATGAAAATAAATCTCATGACTTGTGACACATCTTGAGTAAAATTTGATAAGACTAATATAACAAGATTTCTATATATAAAAATGCTTCAAAGAACTAAGTTTTACTTATGTTTAGGTTGTGTTACTTTTGTATGAAATAAGGTTATGTTTATTAAAATAAATATGAATATATTGTTCATAGTTTTTGCATATGTTCAATATATGAAATAAGGATGTGCAAGTGGAATGCAAAGTTGATAAAATGAAGGAATTGATTTGGCTTTCTTAATAAACTAAAAAGACAGCTTATTAGAATTCATACATTTGTGTTTTATTAGAAGAAGAAGAAGTTAGTCAACAAGTTGCAATATATTTTGATTGTTCCAAGCTTTTAAGTTGGTGGCTTAAAATTAATATATCAAATGTGATAGGGTTCATTAGATGGTTAATATAGAGATTGATAATGATTATATCATGCATATAATGAGTTTAAATAAGATTTTTTAGGAGTTATTGCCCCCAATAAGATCCTTTTAACACAATTACATAAGTTAATGAATTTGAATTTCTATATATAATATGGATGGATTTCTCTAACTTTATTGACGGAGTAGAAGTTTTTTGGAGTTACATGCTATAGAACTGGATATATTCCTTCAATGTGAAGCCATTTTCAAGAATTCGAAGATTTTTGTATTTTGTATTAGTATATTTTCTTATCTCTATTTATCTTATTGGTTCTCTGATTATGAAAATTGGTAATTGATAGAATAAACCAAACACTGAATATCTTAGAGGCAACATGCATGCTCTAAACGAGAAAATGAAGGTGTGTGACTCCACTTTGAAAATGTTGAGAAAAAATTTCTATAGT